GCTTCCTTGGTTCCTGGGTTAAAGGTATGAGCTACCATGCCTGACTTTTTTTCCTCTTAGATTTTCAAATTTAAGAATTACTGCTAAGTCTTAGGGCTGGGTGGCTCTGCAGTTAAGGGCATTGGCGTTCTTGCAGAGGGCTAGGGTTCGATTCCCAGCACCCACATGGCAGCTAACAACTGTCAGTAACTTCAGTTCCAGGGGACACTGCATGACACAGGTGCACTTACACACATGCAGGCAATACACTCATACACATTATAAAAAAAGGATTATTGCTTCCTATTTTCATTATTTATGCTAGAAACCTGTTATTAGTGCTATGACCCTATTTTTCCTTGTTGATTAAAATTCTTCTTTTAGAATTGGCCTGTTTTTTCCCAAACCAGACTCCTCACGTTAGCTTGCATGCCTGTAGTTAAGAGCACACCTATGAGGCCTTGCACGGGTGGTACACACCTATAATCTCAGCACTTGGGAGGCAGAAGAATCAGAAGTTCAAGGACAGCCTCAGCTACATAGTGAATTTAAAACAGCCTGGGCTACATGAGACCCTGTCTCAAAAAAAACAAAAGTAGGGGGCTGGAGCAGGTAGAGCTTAGGCTCAGCGGTTGAGAGTCCTGCCTGTTCCTACAGAGGACCAGGGTTCAGTTCTTAGCACCCACATGTTGACTAACAACCATTTGTAACTCCATCTCCAGGGGATCCTAATGCCATCTTCTGGCCTCCACTGGACATTGTATGACATGGATGCACTTACATACATGCAGGCCAAACACACATACACATAAAATTAAAATAAAATATTAAAAAACAAACCCACAAAAGAACAATAAAGAATGCATCTGTCTGTGGATGGCGAAATCCCTGTGGGGCGTTACAGAAGTGCTCATCAGCTTGTGCCCCTTCTTGACCCTAGTACACCATGAGGTTCAAGTTGTATCCGCATCAAGTGTTGAGAAATGTATGAATTGTCAGCCACTTGCCAAGGGTCCTCGTCGTTCTGGGCCTCTCAAGTCAAGCCATCTAGTCCTTGGTGTCGACCTCTGATGGTGAGAATGGTCTCATGTCCGTCTTGGTCACTGTAGATCCTGTTCAAGTCCTGTTCCATTCCTGGGGTGTCTGTTATCATGAATGCCTTGTTACATTTGCAAATATAGCATAACTTTTTTCATTATACACAGAGCTCTACAGTTTGCTCTGTTAACCCTTAACTCTTTATTGGAGTAATCACACTTCCTACTCAGGATATTTTGTTAAGTCTGACAGTAAGAATACTCTGTTTATGTCAGGCATGGTGGTACATGACTTTAATCCCAGCACTTGGGAGGCAGAGGCAGGCAGATCTCTGTGAGCTCAAGGCCAGCCTGGTCTACATAGCAAGTTCTAGGCCAACTAGGGTTACAGGGAAACCCCGTCTCAAAAGACCAAAAAAACAAAACAAAACAGAGTTGGTCTTGGGATAATAAAAAACACATTTTTATCATGAAGGTGTTACTTTTACTAGTTTCAGAGTTTCCTTTCCTACTGTTTATAGCCAAATACAAACTGTAAGGAAGGCATAAATAAAATGTTCAATTTTTTTCCCCTTGTTTCTGTTCACAATTTCAGTTAGCAATAGCGAAGAATAATATCATTAAACTCCAAGAGGAAAACCATCAGCTGCGAAGTGAAAATAAGCTGATCCTGTTGAGGACACAGCAGCACCTGGAGGTGAGTGACGCCTTGTCCAGACAGACTGTGTGGCCTGCACTCCTTCAGGGCCTTTCCCATGGACTAGGTATGTGATTACAGAGCACAGTGTGATGTCCTCTTCCTAGGTCACGAAAGTGGACGTGGAAACCGAACTTCAAACATACAAGCATTCTCGGCAAGGTCTAGATGAAATGTATAATGACGCCAGAAGACAGCTTCGCGACGAATCACAGCTGCGGCAGGTAGCTCACCAAGGTTATGTTGGCAACACCCCAAGAAGAATTTACTCTCAAGAAGTTCCATTTTAAATCTCTTTCAGCCTTATTTATTTATTTATTTATTTATTTATTTATTTATTTATTTATTTTGTATATGTACTTGAGTGTATATTATGTACCATGTGTGGTAGTGCTCTTGGAGGCCAGAAGAGGATGAAGGATTCCCTGGAACTGGAGTTATAGGCAGTTGTGGGCAACC